TCTTACTGGTATCAAAGAATGATACCAGTACCAGTACAAAGCCTGATACAAGCTCAAAGCCTGTCAACACAGACTCTCAAGTGACCCTGCTAAACTGAAAGTGTAAATAAAATAGCCCCCCTGTAAAAACAAATATATACTTACCTCTCCCGATGCCTGTGCTAATTAATGTTACTCTAGTAAAGAGAAAGTTTCTCCACTGAGCTCAATGGTTCCTCCTGCCGACCCCTACGTCACTGCTGTGTCCTGTAGTGACATAGTGGTTGGCAGACAGAAGATTGAAACTTTTAAGAGAAGTCAGGGAACACATTTTCAAACTTAAGCGGCACGGTCAGCAGGAGAGATAAGTTTCTACTATCTTTACGGGGAACTATTTTTTTTTTTTAACCAAATATTTATTGGGTTTTCAGGGTAGAAATAATCAGCATTTTATACAGCATTTGCTGGCCACAGAAGGCCACATAGGCAACATAATTTGGTCAATAGTATGGTAATGCAAACACTATGTATCAACATAAATGCAATAGAAGAAAAAAGGAAAGAGTAGGAAAGAAAAAAGAACAAGTAGGGGGTCCATCGGTCGGTCAGCTTCGATTGTGTTTTGGGTCCATTCCACAGGATTGGCTCGCAAGGGCCCCACATTCATTACCCCTTGACTCTATAGACCACATCACAGGCGGTGGATGTTGTTGACATCCAGATCGGGGTGATTATGTAGAATCCATGGTTCCCAGACTTTAAGAAATTTGTCATGTGTTTCGGTTAGGATATGTGTATCGGTTAGGACACATGATAACCGTTCATTTAAGAGAACATTATCCAATCTATTGGTAAACTCCCGGTACGGGATAAATAGTTTTTTCCAATTTCCCGCTAAAGTTAATTTGGCAGCAATGAATATTTGGTGAGCCAGGGCACCCTGAGATTTATTTAATCTTGGTACTGAGGCATGAAGTAGAGCCTGTGTTGGGTCTTTAGAGATATCTTTGGCGGATAGAGTCGAAAGTAAATGAAATATTCTGGTCCAGAACCGAGCAGCGAAGGGGCAGGACCACCAGGTATGTAACATGTCCCCTGGGGTCGAGCATCCTCTGTAGCAATTAGTAGTTGATGACGGATACATTTTAGCTAAACGAGTTGGGATTAGGTACCACCGAAACAATACTTTATAGGCAACCTCAGAATTTGTCACATTACTGGAACACCGGGAAATATTTTTCCACAGCTCCCTTCCAATCATCATCAGACCAATGCAGACCCAGGTCTGCGGACCATTTGTTAGAATTAGAATGGGAACTAATACGAGTTAAGAAATTCAGAGTAGAATATAAAATTGACACCTGTTAAGGCCCTCCTGGTGCATAAAGGCAGATGTGTTTGAAGCACGTAAGTGGGGCATTTAAATGTCCACGTGCCTGCATAGAGGATACCCAGTGCTGCAGTTGAATAAACCTAAACATTTCTGCATCAGGAAACTGTTTGTGCGTTTTAAGATAAGACCAAGTTGGTATGTCAGAGGAACGATAAAAATCATACAGCCTGTTGAAGCCATTATCGGTCCACCACCTAAACAATGTCGGGTTAGTGTATGCTGGGACAAATAAAGGTTGTGAAAGTAAGGGGAGAAGGGGTAAGGAAGGGGATATCAGACGTGAGGAGTACTTCAGTGAGTCCCACACCTTTCAAGGTATGTTTCATCAGAGGACTGAGAGAGCGGGGTCTATCTACGGCCGGTAACCAGGGGAGTGCTTGTAAAGGAATTGGGGAGCAGTGGGGAATTTCCAACATGGTCCATAGTGGGATATTAGTTGTGCGGTGAATAGCAATTAGCGGTAGCAGTTGGGATGCTTGGTAGTAGAGAAGGATATTCGGAAGGCCTATCCCCCCTTCTCGTTTGTGCCTATATAATGTGGACCTTGGGACCCTGGGGCGTAGTGGGTGCCATATAAACGACAAGATGTTCCTTTGGAAAGTTCGTAGGATAAAGGATGGGACTGCTATCGGCAACACTCTGAAATAGTACAGTAGCTTAGGGAGTATGGTCATCTTGACTGCAGCAACCCTTTCAAACCAAGATAGTTTATGGTGTACCCAGGTGTCCATTAAAGTTTTAAGTTGTCTAAGCACAGGTAGGTAGTTATTTACATACAGTGTAGCATACGAGGGAGAAATATTAACCCCTAGATATCTCAAATACTTGTGTTCCCAAGTGAACGCAAAATTCTTACGGAGACTATCATAAACATGCCGCAGATTTTTTCATGTTAACCACTAAGCCAGAGATATCCGAGAAAAGATCCAAGATGTGCAACAGGTTGGGGACAAAAGTATGAGGTTGGGTAATGGTCAGTATGACGTCGTCTGCGAACAAGCTAGTTTTGTATTCCACCCCTGCTACCTCGACTCCCTTCACGTTTGGATTTGAGCGGATCATATAGGCTAAAGGCTCTATGGCTAGGGCGCAAAGGACCGGCGATAGAGGACATCCCTGGCGTGTGCCTTTTACTAATCGGGAAAGTCCCGGACACATGTCCCAGATATTTTACTTGGGCGGTGGGGTTATTATATAAGGCTTGGAGCCAGGAAAGAAAAGGACCATCAAGACCCCATTTGAGTAATATATATACCGGAGGTAATCCCAGCAGACTGAGTCAAATGCCCGCTGGATGTCAAGGGACAGTAAGAATCCTGGAATGTTCCTAGTCCTGAGTACATGTATTAAGTGAATGATTTTCCTGACATTATCCCCTGCCTGCCGCAATGGAATCAAGCTAACCTGGTCTTTTATGGATCAGCACAGGTAGGAATGCATTAATACGTGTCTTCGTCAGTATTTTAAGGTCCACATTCAGGAGCGATATAGGCCTATAGCTATCAGGGTCTCGAGGGTCCTTATGTGGTTTTCGTACCATTGAAATGTACGCTAACAGGGATGAGGGGTGTACTGAGTCCCCCTTGCGCAATTAATTATACATGTTCGTTAACCCAGGTGCCAATATGGGTGCCACCTTTTTGTAGTAAAGGGTTGAAAACCCATCTGGGCCGGGGGCTTTAGATATTTTAAGGGATTTGATTGTATTCAACACTTCCTCCTCTGTTATTTCTAGATGAAGTTGGTCAAGGGATGCCGGGGGGATAGTAGGGAATGGGAGGTCCTTAAGTAGTGCGTCCGCTTTGAGTTCATCAAATGAATTAGAGGCAGAGTAGAGCTTAGTTACATTTTCTTGGAACAAATGAAGGATTTTGTTCGGGTTTGCTGTAATATTTCCCTGTGGGGTTCGAAGTCTAAGGGGTGCAAACCTATGTGGGAGTGCATTTAGTTTTCTAGCTAGCATGGAGCCTGGTTTATTTGTTCTGGAGTAGAATTTGTGTTTAGACCATCTATGCAATTCCAGAGGAGATCTTAAACCGCATTCCTCTTCGCTTGTGGTCCACTGTCCCTGAAGATATTGGACACCTGAAAGGGCCACCAGTCATGGTGCGATTGAAGCCTGGAGCCCCCTTGCCCAGAAAACCACAAGTTGTACCAATTGTGTCAGTAAACGCCTATCCTGCTTATCCTTCAGACAGGTAGTGAGTTCCTCTAGTTTAGTATAAAGTTTGCTGACCTTCCTATTCCTTTCTTTCTTCCTCTGTGTGGCTATCTCTATTAGCTGACCTCTCATGGTGGCTTTGTAATATAACTGGGGAGTCCACAGAACCAGCATTAAGAGAAAAGAATTGTCAGGCATGTGATTCAACCTGTTGCAGGAGAACTTCAGATGCACCATAGAAAACGCGTTGGTCTAGCTGCTTCCAAGCGGAACCGTACAGCATTTGCTGCATGGTCCGACCAAGGCACGGGTTTGATTCGTGCAGAAAGGAAAGCAGGAAGATTACATTGCAACGTAAACACATGATCAATTCTGCAAAACGATTGATGGGGATTCGAAAAGAATGTGTAGTCCTTGGAGGATGGGTTCAATTCCCTCCACACATCTACTAGGGAATGATCATTTAATAATGTGAGGACGTTGGAGTTCTGCAATGGTAGTGGGGAAGGGTTGGCAGCATCAGTAGATTTAGTTTTGTTAGCAGGATAAAGGATTAAATTAGTATCCCCAGCCAAGATGAGGATACCTTTACTATGGTGGGTAACTACTTTCAATAGGTGGGAGAGAAAGCGGAGTTGGTGTGCATTAGGGCAATAGTACGAGACTATAGTCATGTCAATATCATATAGCGACCCAATCAATATCACATAACGTCTAGTGGGGTCTGCAATTTGCTTGTCACACACGAAAGGTAGATTCTTCCTAATCGCTATCAGAACCCCTCTCTTTTTTTCTGAGAAGGTGGCACTATAGAATATAAGGAATCAATTATGTAAATACTTAGGACTGAAGGTGATAGAAAATCTAGTCTCCTGCAAGCAGACTATATCGGCATGGCTTGATGATTAGTATGAGAACACTTTGTTGCGCTTTTGCGGCGAATTCAGCCACTGGACGTTATGTGAGAAAACATTAAAACCAGTGGCCATGATTAACAAGCATGAACATTAGGCAACATAGGCAACCCTGGGTGATAGTCCCATGTGCAAGATAACTTGGTTGTTCAGCTGCTTGTGTCCTGCTCAATCACAGTGGTGAGGACCTCCATGTATTCTTCACCTGTAAGCTGTCCTCAGACATGTTAGTATGACAGCTGTGTATAGATAGCCATCTATATCTCTGAACAGCAGTTTCTCCTAAAGTTGTAAAATTATTCCCACAGTTTGCCACAGGGTTCTGTTCATAATGTCCACACTGATATTTTTGTTGCACTAAAACACTGTACAGCTTTCTATAAATGAAAACTACATGGGACCCAGAGGCCAAAAGAACTACAACTAGGCATTAGTTCTTACATTGATTACTCTTTTGTAATAATGTAGCCATTCAGTACATTTAAATTAATTAGGAAAGAAATTAGTGCTGGAGAAAAAAAGCTCAATGTAATACGTTTCCTGTTTTGTTTAGGATTGTGTGGATGCAGGTTGGTGGGAAGGAGAACTGAATGGCAGGAGAGGAGTGTTTCCAGACAATTTTGTCAAGCTACTTCCTTCAGATTTTGAAAAAGAAATCCATGTAAGTACCCATATCTAGGTATCACTTTGTTTTAATGAGTTGTAGTTTCTAATATTCTTACAGGATAGAGCCATGATCTTTCTTGTAACTTTCAGCCTCAGAATGTAAAATCTATTAGGCCTCAAGATGCCTTTAGGGCTACATCCTTATGCGCTGACAGCCAGCAACAATCACCAAAATAAAGCATACCGCTAACATTCACACACAAACAGGGCTCAATTGCAAACACATATGAAAGAACACAGCATGTGTAAGGTGATTATGCACAGTATGGTCCTACTATTTATGACAGTACCAACACTTTATATATAGAAATTACTAAATTCACAGGTTTTGGTAGTATAACAACACATGAGATAGGGACCTTAGATTGTAAGATCCTTGAGGGCAAGGACGTATGTGAATGTGCACTATGTAAAGCACTGCGTAAATTGTTGGCGCTATATAAATATCTGAAATAAAAAAAATTATAAGCCCCGGCTTGCTCACCTCCGTGCTATACCTGTCCTCCAATTAAGGTTGCTCTTAAATTAGTTTTTTCTTTCAACCCTGAGCTTGGAAGCACTCGGCATACAAACAGTTACTTATAGCTCTAGTGTGGTTCTATATTTCCCACCACCCCCCTGATCCATGCAGTGCATGCACTTTACTGACGTACTGTATAAGCTGGCTATAGACAGGCAGGAAGTCAAATTCTCCTGCTCTGTCGATGGGGTTTTCATTGCCACCTGCCACTGTTTCTCATATGATTTGCCCAAGAGACTAAAGTGCTTCTCTGAGTAACCATTCATTGCTTTATTAATTAAGAACACTGGTCACAGGGAAGCAGATGACAATTGACACACTATGCTGTATCTTAAAGTGATATTAAAGGTTCAGGTTTTTTTTTTAATGATCAAAGCTAGCAGGCCCACTTTTGCATGAAAAGTATGTTCTCTTTCTTCAAAAAGGTTCCTCATCCTCGTTCTCTAGTGGGTCCCCGCAGCGCTCTGCCCCCGTCCCCTGCACTGGTGCCACCATCAGCTTAGCAGCTGCTATTGAAGCACCGGTCCGTGCATGTTCCTGCAGTGACTGTGAGCGTCCATAGATCCACACATCCCTGCCACAGGCCACACCCCTCCTCTCTGCCCAACAGTTTGATTGCTGGCAGAAGGAGCCTATGGAAGTTTGGGGTACAGGAAGTTCGGGGGACAGAGTTAAAAATCATACAGCCTGTTGAAGCCATTATCGGTCCACCACCTAAACAATGTCGGGTTAGTGTATGCTGGGACAAATAAAGGTTGTGAAAGTAAGGGGAGAAGGGGTAAGGAAGGGGATATCAGACGTGAGGAGTACTTCAGTGAGTCCCACACCTTTCAAGGTATGTTTCATCAGAGGACTGAGAGAGCGGGGTCTATCTACGGCCGGTAACCAGGGGAGTGCTTGTAAAGGAATTGGGGAGCAGTGGGGAATTTCCAACATGGTCCATAGTGGGATATTAGTTGTGCGGTGAATAGCAATTAGCGGTAGCAGTTGGGATGCTTGGTAGTAGAGAAGGATATTCGGAAGGCCTATCCCCCCTTCTCGTTTGTGCCTATATAATGTGGACCTTGGGACCCTGGGGCGTAGTGGGTGCCATATAAACGACAAGATGTTCCTTTGGAAAGTTCGTAGGATAAAGGATGGGACTGCTATCGGCAACACTCTGAAATAGTACAGTAGCTTAGGGAGTATGGTCATCTTGACTGCAGCAACCCTTTCAAACCAAGATAGTTTATGGTGTACCCAGGTGTCCATTAAAGTTTTAAGTTGTCTAAGCACAGGTAGGTAGTTATTTACATACAGTGTAGCATACGAGGGAGAAATATTAACCCCTAGATATCTCAAATACTTGTGTTCCCAAGTGAACGCAAAATTCTTACGGAGACTATCATAAACATGCCGCAGATTTTTTCATGTTAACCACTAAGCCAGAGATATCCGAGAAAAGATCCAAGATGTGCAACAGGTTGGGGACAAAAGTATGAGGTTGGGTAATGGTCAGTATGACGTCGTCTGCGAACAAGCTAGTTTTGTATTCCACCCCTGCTACCTCGACTCCCTTCACGTTTGGATTTGAGCGGATCATATAGGCTAAAGGCTCTATGGCTAGGGCGCAAAGGACCGGCGATAGAGGACATCCCTGGCGTGTGCCTTTTACTAATCGGGAAAGTCCCGGACACATGTCCCAGATATTTTACTTGGGCGGTGGGGTTATTATATAAGGCTTGGAGCCAGGAAAGAAAAGGACCATCAAGACCCCATTTGAGTAATATATATACCGGAGGTAATCCCAGCAGACTGAGTCAAATGCCCGCTGGATGTCAAGGGACAGTAAGAATCCGGAGATGTTCCTAGTCCTGAGTACATGTACTAAGTGAATGATTTTCCTGACATTATCCCCTGCCTGCCGCAATGGAATCAAGCTAACCTGGTCTTTTATGGATCAGCACAGGTAGGAATGCATTAATACGTGTCTTCGTCAGTATTTTAAGGTCCACATTCAGGAGCGATATAGGCCTATAGCTATCAGGGTCTCGAGGGTCCTTATGTGGTTTTCGTACCATTGAAATGTACGCTAACAGGGATGAGGGGTGTACTGAGTCCCCCTTGCGCAATTAATTATACATGTTCGTTAACCCAGGTGCCAATATGGGTGCCACCTTTTTGTAGTAAAGGGTTGAAAACCCATCTGGGCCGGGGGCTTTAGATATTTTAAGGGATTTGATTGTATTCAACACTTCCTCCTCTGTTATTTCTAGATGAAGTTGGTCAAGGGATGCCGGGGGGATAGTAGGGAATGGGAGGTCCTTAAGTAGTGCGTCCGCTTTGAGTTCATCAAATGAATTAGAGGCAGAGTAGAGCTTAGTTACATTTTCTTGGAACAAATGAAGGATTTTGTTCGGGTTTGCTGTAATATTGCCCTGTGGGGTTCGAAGTCTAAGGGGTGCAAACCTATGTGGGAGTGCATTTAGTTTTCTAGCTAGCATGGAGCCTGGTTTATTTGTTCTGGAGTAGAATTTGTGTTTAGACCATCTATGCAATTCCAGAGGAGATCTTAAACCGCATTCCTCTTCGCTTGTGGTCCACTGTCCCTGAAGATATTGGACACCTGAAAGGGCCACCAGTCATGGTGCGATTGAAGCCTGGAGCCCCCTTGCCCAGAAAACCACAAGTTGTACCAATTGTGTCAGTAAACGCCTATCCTGCTTATCCTTCAGACAGGTAGTGAGTTCCTCTAGTTTAGTATAAAGTTTGCTGACCTTCCTATTCCTTTCTTTCTTCCTCTGTGTGGCTATCTCTATTAGCTGACCTCTCATGGTGGCTTTGTAATATAACTGGGGAGTCCACAGAACCAGCATTAAGAGAAAAGAATTGTCAGGCATGTGATTCAACCTGTTGCAGGAGAACTTCAGATGCACCATAGAAAACGCGTTGGTCTAGCTGCTTCCAAGCGGAACCGTACAGCATTTGCTGCATGGTCCGACCAAGGCACGGGTTTGATTCGTGCAGAAAGGAAAGCAGGAACATTACATTGCAATGTAAACACATGATCAATTCTGCAAAACGATTGATGGGGATTCGAAAAGAATGTGTAGTCCTTGGAGGATGGGTTCAGTTCCCTCCACACATCTACTAGGGAATGATCATTTAACAATGTGAGGAAGTTGGAGTTCTGCAATGGTAGTGGGGAAGGGTTGGCAGCATCAGTAGATTTAGTTTTGTTAGCAGGATAAAGGATTAAATTAGTATCCCCAGCCAAGATGAGGATACCTTTACTATGGTGGGTAACTACTTTCAATAGGTGGGAGAGAAAGCGGAGTTGGTGTGCATTAGGGCAATAGTACGAGACTATAGTCATGTCAATATCATATAGCGACCCAATCAATATCACATAACGTCTAGTGGGGTCTGCAATTTGCTTGTCACACACGAAAGGTAGATTCTTCCTAATCGCTATCAGAACCCCTCTCTTTTTTTCTGAGAAGGTGGCACTATAGAATATAAGGAATCAATTATGTAAATACTTAGGACTGAAGGTGATAGAAAATCTAGTCTCCTGCAAGCAGACTATATCGGCATGGCTTGATGATTAGTATGAGAACACTTTGTTGCGCTTTTGCGGCGAATTCAGCCACTGGACGTTATGTGAGAAAACATTAAAACCAGTGGCCATGATTAACAAGCATGAACATTAGGCAACATAGGCAACCCTGGGTGATAGTCCCATGTGCAAGATAACTTGGTTGTTCAGCTGCTTGTGTCCTGCTCAATCACAGTGGTGAGGACCTCCATGTATTCTTCACCTGTAAGCTGTCCTCAGACATGTTAGTATGACAGCTGTGTATAGATAGCCATCTATATCTCTGAACAGCAGTTTCTCCTAAAGTTGTAAAATTATTCCCACAGTTTGCCACAGGGTTCTGTTCATAATGTCCACACTGATATTTTTGTTGCACTAAAACACTGTACAGCTTTCTATAAATGAAAACTACATGGGACCCAGAGGCCAAAAGAACTACAACTAGGCATTAGTTCTTACATTGATTACTCTTTTGTAATAATGTAGCCATTCAGTACATTTAAATTAATTAGGAAAGAAATTAGTGCTGGAGAAAAAAAGCTCAATGTAATACGTTTCCTGTTTTGTTTAGGATTGTGTGGATGCAGGTTGGTGGGAAGGAGAACTGAATGGCAGGAGAGGAGTGTTTCCAGACAATTTTGTCAAGCTACTTCCTTCAGATTTTGAAAAAGAAATCCATGTAAGTACCCATATCTAGGTATCACTTTGTTTTAATGAGTTGTAGTTTCTAATATTCTTACAGGATAGAGCCATGATCTTTCTTGTAACTTTCAGCCTCAGAATGTAAAATCTATTAGGCCTCAAGATGCCTTTAGGGCTACATCCTTATGCGCTGACAGCCAGCAACAATCACCAAAATAAAGCATACCGCTAACATTCACACACAAACAGGGCTCAA